TTGGTATAAGAAACGTAAATAGTATTCAATAGAAAATTACATTTTTCTTCTGTCTCTGTCATAAGTTATAGAGTGTTCCATTGAAATTAAGCAATTTATCACCGGTCAAAACGTGCAATTGTTTGAACACAATTTGGAGACACCCTGTATCTTTTAGTATAATTTTTATTAATATGTATACACTGTGATTCAAAATTGGCGTCATTCCTCTGGAGGTGTTGTCTGGCGCTGTTACAGGAGTACAGAAAAAATAGTAAAATAAATTAATTGTTATTAAAAACTGAAAAACTTCCAAAAAACTATGTCAGAAATACGGCAGCAATGTTTTTCAAGGTAATCTGACTAATTAACATTGCGCAAATACCTGTTGCTTCGTAATTATTTAAAACTCCGGTAAACATGGAATTATACAGAGTGACAATAAGATAGAAAACCATAAACGGTAAATTCAACAAGATTCGTTGACTGCGCAACGTACTTTCGAAATGTCAACCTGTTCTCATAACCTCGAATTTTGCGGGGTTTGCTGTTTACATAAATAATCCATACACCACCAAACATTTGAATAGTTAACTACAAACAAGCTAGTGCCTGTGTAATCTTCTTATTATCCACAATTATCAAACAGCTTCTCGTATTCAGTTAATTAACTCGTGCTCCATTTGTATCTCCTTGTGCTGTGTGTATCGTACCAACGTGGTAGGAATGTGGCCCTTCCTCGGTATTTAATTGGTGCTTGGGAAAGTGTGTTATTGTACTCTGAGTACCCCTGGAAGGCCCTGATTTGGTTATGTTCAATACGTGTTCCTCTCTGCCTGGAACCCAAAAATCTATCGTCCACCATCTTCCTGGAACCACGCTCTTCGCCCTTTGTTAGCGTGAGTTCTTTCAGCTTCTGCTATCTTAATGTAGCATTTCCCCTGAACTAAGCGCATGTCCGCAAATTCGTGAAAGGAAATTCAAAGTAAGTCACAGTTTGACAAATTATTGTTTTTATTGACAAGGGCACATAACACATCATTGCCGCTGTGCCTTTTCATCCAAACTTTGTAGAAGAGAACTTTTTTTATATCAAAAATTTTCGTAATTTGAAGCAAAGATAGTAATTTTTCTTTTTGTATGCTTAAGTATTCCAATAGGCTGCCAATCCAACGTGGGATTTTTTTAGAATAATGCTTAATAACAAAGTTGAAATTCGATCTTCAACTGTTAATATCTTCTAGAAATTTTCGAAAAAAAGCCTCTATCACCCCTTAAAAGCAATGACGCCAATTTTGAATCACCCTGTATATAAATAACTTGGATTGGAAACTCGAAATGAGTGGTTTTTTTAATTTAAACTATAAAAAAAAGGTTTTTACGAAATTCCGAATATCTCAGAAACTCTAAGATGTGTAAGATAAACCTTATTAGAACTCACGTTTATTTCGATCGTAGACACTAATAACATGGTAATATACAGGGTGTCCCACCGGGAACCGCCGCGATCGATATCTGGCAAAGTGTAATTAGGAGAAATTTGAAAATTGGACAGTGTGCCGAAGTCATTGTGGCAAGTTATCGAAAATATTTTCAAGATGGTCACCCTTCCGGATCTACCGAAAGTAGGTATCAACTTGCTTATTTTAAATAGAACACTCTATATATTATTGCATATTTGAATTTTACTCCAGATTATCAATATATTATGCTTGGTATACTATCCTACACCTGAGTCTAACCGTTTTTAGTATATTTGAAATTTTATGTAAAAAATGACAGTTGCAGCCAAACAAATAATTATTCATTTTTTCTATAAGGGAATATCTGCTACTTAATTAGAGTCGCACTTCTTGCTGAAAAGGACTTAATTTAATGGAATTTGGACAACATTTTGATCATTATTAACACAAAGTGTTCAAAAAATTCGTTTAAAAATGGTGTTGAGAAAATGGCTCAAAATCAATTTTTCAAGCGGAAACTCCTATTTTTGATACTTTTTCTTATTCAGAATTAAAAATAAGGGTATAAGTTTGTGTAAGGTTATCTATTCCAAAAGTTTTTAGTTTTCCAAATATTGTCAATTTTATGTTTTCATATGGCTATTTTGTCGCATCTTATTTCAAATACTGTCACTCTTAGTTGCCATGACGAAAGTGGCCATTTTTAATATATACAATAAAATGTCAGTGTAATATTTACAGCTGTCAGTTACCTTTTTAGACGCTTAAATTATACAATCGAAGATTATTTAAACTCATTAATTATGTATGGCGAAAGTGTACAGGAAGAGTTTGTAAAAATAATTTACCATACAGAAAGGGTTTATGAAAATATAAATTTAAAAGAAACATATATTTATTGTATTTCAACAAACAAAGCTACTAGAAGAATGCATTACTGTTTTAGTTACTATACTAAAACAATAACGCATTGAGCTGAATTTGATCAAAAATTAAAAATTAATGTCGAGTAACTCGATTACAAAAGCTTTCCAAAATTTCACTGTAACATGTCCGTCCATGTGCCGTCATCATCACGTCGAGTCGACATGAAAAAAATACGGAAAGCTAGTTATTGGAAACGTTGAATTTTGATTTAAGCGTACGTCCACAAACAGAAATATCGGTATAATATTAGTTTATACTTGATAATAAGCACACCAACACATAATTTTAACCTTTCCGCGAGATTTCCGTGAAAGCATCGATATTTAAACACTACATAAATAAACTATTATAATTACTTACACTGATATCACTCCCCCCAAATCTCCAAAAAACTCTTTCCTCAAATTGTGTTTGTAATAGTTTAAGCTCGGCATTGACGGCCTTAAGGGCAGAGCATCTTCCTTTCTGAAAACTTTCTCGATCTCATCAGGATCAAACAAAAACAGCATGTCTGGTCTCCCAAACAATCCACCGACTTTGACAAGTTTTCCATATTTCGTGTACAGTTTCTTGGACACCTTATCAATGTGTTCTATTTGGAAATCGCCTAAAAAGTCAATCAAAATGAGACCAAAGCAACAAATTATAAAAAACTACCTACCGATGTAAGGGATAAACCGCCAATTATTGCCTAATAGTGGCAAGGGTTTAGGTCCAGGAATATCCTCGTAAGGTTTGATTTTCTTGATTTGAGCACTCTCACCAACTTCGCATGTCTCACTAGTTAGAACGTCCGTAAATTGCGCGGAACTATTCAAACACCTTTTGCAAATAACTTTGAAAGGGCGGTTTAATTCCAAAAAGGATTTTAGGATGGCCATTTTGATGCGTTATAAGCAATTTAGATTATTCTGTGGCCTCGTCACGCTTTGCTAATACTAATATTTTTATGATTTAAGATGTAATCATGGCAGAAGGTTATAGGTAGTAGACGAATCAAGGTTTCGTTTCGACGGCGTTTTGATCAACCGGCTATATTGCACGTGAACTGCACAATGCGAAATAAAACTCTGGGAAACCAGACGTTATAATTGGCTTCTGGCTTCTTAAGTGTTCCAAATATCGAGCTACGACTATCACGTTTGAAAAGAAAATGAGATTTATTTTCTGTAAATTTCGATAAGGACCTATATTGAACGCATTTTTATTGGGCTCATTTGAGCTAAAAAATTTCCTAGAACATTACATAAAAAAAATTCTGTATGTATTGGTGCAAAAACTTCTTCATGAGTTGTCACTCTTAATGTCCAAAACATACAAACGCTCTCCATTCAAATCTGCGTTGTTGAGTAATATGTGGGCCAATCGTGAAGGTAGGACCAGACATTTTCAATAGTCTACTAAAAATTTCTTTTTCGTACGTCGTATGTGTCACTTTCACACAAAATGTATCTTTTAATGGTGAATAATTATTGGCTGTTTTCAATACGAACATTCATATAAAAGCGCATTTTCGGTAGAAGTCAATTTCTACTTTCTACGCATTTATTAATAGTTTTTAACCAAATTTAAAAAACAGTCCTATTTTTTGCAACAAACTAAACGAATAAATTTCTGTTTGTATCCTTGTATACTGTACTGACTATGTATTGTATTATAGAAGTCTAAAAAGATATTGGATTGGAGGGGAAAGATGTTCGCATAATCGCGGATTTATACTGGCATTAAACCGCAGTAGTAAGAATAGATAAAACAAACTCAGAATCAATGAACATCAAGTGAGGTGTTAGGCAAGAATGTATTTTATCGCCATTACTATTTATTTACTCAAAAAGAATATTCAGGAAGGCAATCTCTGAAGGATTGGAGGGCATTATAGTAAATGGCGAAGTCATAAACAATTTGCGTTTGCGGATGACACGGTACTTCTGGCCTCCAATGAGGAAGATTTACAGTTTGTACTCGATCGGGTCACGCCGGAGCAGGACTAGATCTTAATATCAAGGAAACCAAGATTCTGGTAATAGGCAAACAGCATAATAAAACGGCTACTGTGACAGTCAGAGATGTGAGTCTGGAGCAGGTTAAATAGTTCAAGTACCGCGGATGTCTGATAAATAACGACGGAGACAATCAGACGGAACTCCGGTCAAGAATAGAGTACCTGCGCTCGCGCAGCGTTTAACAAAATGTGAAAAGTTTTTTGCAGTAGAGATGGTGCGCCAACCCAACGCACCGGCGCAGTAAGTCACTCGTATATATATGTTACCGGCAATGTGCAAAATGCCTATGCGTTCTGCAAACTGACCAACTCGCCAGGCATTTCACTGAATCGCATCTACTTTGGGCAATCTGCAAAATGCCGTAAGCGTTAGTCAATGTGCTTTTAAGCGGTGCAGCGGGTTCATTTTTTTCCTTCCTGATTGAACAGGTGTCAGAAATCTTTAATATAACATAGTTTTTATTTGCGATTATTTCGTGCGAAAAAAAATATTATTTTGTAACATGTGTAGGTAGGCAACATGGCTAATGCTCCAATTTGTGCCAATACTGCATTATTGTTATGATATAGGATTCGAAATTCGAGCATAACAGAACCCACCCGAACGGAGAACCATGTTCGTGACTGGACTGTTCAGTTAGTCCATGATATTTTAATACGCTAAGTACGCTAATGTCTAGGCATTCTACAAAGTGCTTGGCGAGTTGGTCAGTGAATAAAGCCTAGACATTGTCGGATTTCGTACATTGCGGCTAATATATTTAAAATAAGATAAAATGTGGCTTTGAAATTCCACAATCGCACAGGCGGCGTAATAACCCGCTAAACAATTTTTCGCTTCAGAAACGTATATTAAAATCCCGAAACGTTTCAGTTACCTGCACTACCTATATGTTTCAGAAATCTTTATGTAACTGCAAATGTCCCCACTCAGAAACGTGTCACTGAAACGTTTTGCTGAAACATTGCAGAAACCTTTCGTTGAACTGTTACTGAAGCATTGCACTGGACGTTATTTAAACGTCTAACGCAATTTTATTTAGCGCGTTATTTAGACGTCTCCTTTGAGTTGGGTAAATTCTCAGTTTATAATAAATCATCGTTTTCGACAGCCTCAACCTAAAAGTGAAAAAATAATAATACAGAAGTTCAGTTCTCAGTGTACAGTTTAAGATGATGTATGGAGTATTCAAAATATTAAACAAATTATAAAACAAAACTGTTAGTAGATATTATATAGTTTGATTCCGTTCTTGTTTACCAAACGCCAAAGCTGCCTGTTAGAATTATTTCTTATCTTTTCTCGGTTCATTTTATTGCCCTCAAATAATATTCATAATCCTTTTAGTACATAAATGAACTGAACAACTCGAAATGAGAACAGCAAAACGTCGTGCATATGGTCTAAGTTAGAGCTAATTTAGTTAAATATACTTACAAATACTAAATTTTCTACAATTAAACAATATACGTAGGTACTTACCAATATATTATCACTTATTTTGCTGAACCCGTTAAGTAATCTAATAATAAAAATGAAATAATACAACCTCCCAAATAATGCGTTGTTCGGAAAGGCAATAGTGATTATGTTTTATAAGATAATAAATGCCATGCGCAATGGGAGGCGGTAGAACCATGAATCTCATGTGAGCTAAAGCCCTTTCTGAAACATTTTTGAAACGTTTTCATGATATTGTAACGGAAACGGCCTGGGGTACTCACGTTTGAAATGAGGAGATTGAAATTCATGGTATTTCAGCAAATCGGAGCCCCATTTACTGTCAAATATGACACTGACAAGCGGGAAATTTCGCACGTAAGCTGGAGATTTCGAGAACCGTCTGGGTTACCTGGACGAAACTATATAAGCGGCGACGAGAACACTGGGGAGGGAGTGAAGTGACAGCAGCGACCGAGTTTAGAAGAGGTTAAACCCCGCGAGTCGGAAGTCCGAGTTTTCCGTTTGTTATTGTTATTGTTTGTGAAGTTGACGTTAATTTAGAAGTTAGTTTGTTTTTGTTCCGTATTTAAAGTGATACCGAGTTGAATAAAAGTTGGAAGCTGAAGAAAGAATTTGATACCCGGCCATCCACGGTACATTTGATGTCAGAAGTAGTATTTACCAGAACCCAAGTTGAATTTTGATGGAAACAAGAAGTAAATCAAAGAAAGAAGACCCTGCAATGGATAACCCCAGTTTGATTGCACTGCTCATGCAGATGAAAGACGAAATCAGCGACAAAATGGACAAAATGGAAGACAACAGTACGAAAATGATGGACGAAATGAGCGACAACAGTAGGAAAATGGACGAAAAAATTGACAGAATGACTGACAAAATGGAAGACAACAGTAGGAAAATGAATAAAAAAATTGACAGAATGACTGACAAAATGGAAGACAACAGTAGGAAAATGGACGAAAAAATGGACAAAATGAATGACAAATACAAAGAGATGCTGGATGAAATGGCCGACAGTATGAAAGTGATGAACGAAATGAGAGATAAAATGGACGACAACGCTAAGAAATTTGAAGACCTGAAGACAACCGTTGAAGACAAACTAAAGAACATTG